GCCATATTTATTACAACGTTTCGGCCTTTCAGTATCTGTCTATATTTCTGCGATGATGTACTGATTATATATTTACATTATTCGGACTATTGTCCTCATCTTTGTCGCCATATTTATTACAACGTTTATGCCTTTCAGTATCTGTCTATATTTCTGAGATAACCAGTATTATGTACATTATAAACATTTTGGACTATTGTCCTCAAATTTGTCGCCATATTTATTACAACGTTTCGGCCTTTCAGTATCTCTCTATATTTATGAGATGAGATATTATATAATACACTATTTACATTATTCAGACATTGTCCTCATCTTTGTTTTATTTATTACAACGTATAAGCCTTTCAGTATCTGTCTATATTTCTGCGATGATGTTTATGTACACTATTTACATTATTCGGACTGAATTGTCCTCATCTTTGTCGCCATATTTTTTACAACGTTTCGGCCTTTCAGTATCTGTCTATATTTCTGAGATGAGGTATTATGTACACTATTTACATTATTCGGAGAATTGTTCTCATCTTTGTCGCCATATTTGCATCGGAAACGTTTGGGCCTTTCAGTATCTCTATTTTCTGAGATGAGGTATTATGTACACTATTTACATTATTCGGACTATTGTCCTCATCTTTGTCGCCATATTTATTACAACGTTAAAACCTTTCAGTATCTCTCTCTATATTTCTGAGATGAGGTATTATGTACACTATTTACATTATTCGGACTATTGTCCTCATCTTTGTCGAGTTATTTATTACAACGTTTCGGCCTTTCAGTATCTGTCTATATTTCTGCGATGATGTACTATGTACACTATTTACATTATTCGGACTATTGTCCTCATCTTTGTCGCCATATTTATTACAACGTTTCGGCCTTTCAGTATCTGTCTATATTTCTGAGATGAGGTATTATGTACACTATTTACATTATTCGGACTATTGTTCTCATCTTTGTCGCCATATTTATTACAACGTTTCGGCCTTTCAGTATCTCTCTATATTTCTGAGATGAGGTATTATGTACACTATTTACATTATTCGGACTATTGTTCTCATCTTTGTCGCCATATTTATCACAACGTTTCGGCCCTTCAGTATCTGTCTATATTTCTGAGATTTATTATTATGTACACTATTTACATTATTCGGACTATTGTTCTCATCTTTGTCGCCATATTTATTACAACGTTTCGGCCTTTCAGTATCTGTCTATATTTCTGCGATGATGTACTATGTACACTATTTACATTATTCGGACTATTGTCCTCATCTTTGTCGCCATATTTTTTTACAACGTTTCGGCCTTTCAGTATCTGTCTATATTTCTGAGATGAGGTATTATGTACACTATTTACATTATTCAGACTATTGTCCTCATATTTGTCGCCATATTTATTACAACGTTTCGGCCTTTCAGTATCTGTCTATATTTCTGCGATGATGTACTATGTACACTATTTACATTATTCGGACTATTGTTCTCATCTTTGTCGCCATATTTATTACAACGTTTCGGCCTTTCAGTATCTGTCTATATTTCTGAGATGAGGTATTATGTACACTATTTACATTATTCGGACTATTGTCCTCATATTTGTCGCCATATTTATTACAACGTTTCGGCCTTTCAGTATCTCTCTATATTTCTGAGATGAGGTATTATGTACACTATTTACATTATTCGGACTATTGTCCTCATCTTTGTCGCCATATTTATTACAACGTTTCGGCCTTTCAGTATCTGTCTATATTTCTGAGATGAGGTATTATGTACACTATTTACATTATTCGGACTATTGTCCTCATATTTGTCGCCATATTTATTACAACGTTTCGGCCTTTCAGTATCTGTCTATATTTCTGCGATGATGTACTATGTACACTATTTACATTATTCGGACTATTGTCCTCATCTTTGTCGCCATATTTATTACAACGTTTCGGCCTTTCAGTATCTGTCTATATTTCTGAGATGAGGTATTATGTACACTATTTACATTATTCGGACTATTGTCCTCAAATTTGTCGCCATATTTATTACAACGTTTCGGCCTTTCAGTATCTCTCTATATTTCTGAGATGAGGTATTATGTACACTATTTACATTATTCAGACTATTGTCCTCATCTTTGTCGCCTTATTTATTACAACGTATCGGCCTTTCAGTATCTGTCTATATTTCTGCGATGATGTACTATGTACACTATTTACATTATTCGGACTATTGTCCTCATCTTTGTCGCCATATTTATTACAACGTTTCGGCCTTTCAGTATCTGTCTATATTTCTGAGATGAGGTATTATGTACACTATTTACATTATTCGGACTATTGTTCTCATCTTTGTCGCCATATTTATTACAACGTTTCGGCCTTTCAGTATCTCTATATTTCTGAGATGAGGTATTATGTACACTATTTACATTATTCGGACTATTGTCCTCATCTTTGTCGCCATATTTATTACAACGTTTCGGCCTTTCAGTATCTCTCTATATTTCTGAGATGAGGTATTATGTACACTATTTACATTATTCGGACTATTGTCCTCATCTTTGTCGCCTTATTTATTACAACGTTTCGGCCTTTCAGTATCTGTCTATATTTCTGCGATGATGTACTATGTACACTATTTACATTATTCGGACTATTGTCCTCATCTTTGTCGCCATATTTATTACAACGTTTCGGCCTTTCAGTATCTGTCTATATTTCTGAGATGATTTATTATGTACACTATTTACATTATTCGGACTATTGTTCTCATCTTTGTCACCATATTTATTACAACATTTCGGCCTTTCAGTATCTCTCTATATTTCTGAGATGAAAAATTATTATATACACTATTTACATTATTCGGACTATTGTTCTCATCTTTGTCGCCATATTTATCACAACGTTTCGGCCCTTCAGTATCTGTCTATATTTCTGAGATGAGGTATTATGTACACTATTTACATTATTCGGACTATTGTTCTCATCTTTGTCGCCATATTTATTACAACGTTTCGGCCTTTCAGTATCTGTCTATATTTCTGCGATGATGTACTATGTACACTATTTACATTATTCGGACTATTGTCCTCATCTTTGTCGCCATATTTATTACAACGTTTCGGCCTTTCAGTATCTGTCTATATTTCTGAGATGAGGTATTATGTACACTATTTACATTATTCGGACTATTGTTTCTCATCTTTGTCGCCATATTTATTACAACGTTTCGGCCTTTCAGTATCTCTCTATATTTCTGAGAGATGGTATTATCTATCTATCTATTTACATTATTCGGACTATTGTCCTCATCTTTGTCGCCATATTTATTACAACGTTTCGGCCTTTCAGTATCTGTCTATATTTCTGAGATGAGGTATTATGTACACTATTTACATTATTCGGACTATTGTCCTCATCTTTGTCGCCATATTTATTACAACGTTTCGGCCTTTCAGTATCTGTCTATATTTCTGAGATGAGATATTATGTACATTATTTACGTTATTCGGACTATTGTCCTCATCTTTGTCGTCATATTTATTACAACCCTTTATTTCGTGTGTGTGGATATATATTTAATATAAATATAAAATTATCATCCCTACTCCAGAGTTTTGTAGACGAAACCTCCAAAAATCGCTCCACCCACTCGTCAGCAGATATTAGCAATTGGCTTTTTTATTTTCTCGTTTTTTCCTTCATATTGCGTTGAAAAATAACTTATGCCCTTTTCATTGGTGCAAAGTTGATTTATTTCCGTATTCCTCTCTCATTGAGTGTGTGTGTGTGTGTGTGTGTGTGTGTGTGTGTGTGTGTGTGTGTGTGTGTGTGTGTGCGGCCGGGCGCCTCGGTATGTACGTGTTGAACGTCAAGGTTATTTTCTCCTTTTCACCGTTTCATCTTTTACATTCATTTCTCATTAAGAATGTATATAAATTAAATTAAATTATCAGATCTGAGGGCTAGTAACAAACATTTACTGGTTTCTTATCGTCGGATCTGATAAGTTTAATTTTAATTAATGCCCCTCTTATCTTCGAGAACCGAGGCATGGTGCAGTAATAGATAGTGGCTCGAACTGAGGAATTCACTAATACCCTTGGGAAAGGTATGCATCCTCCTCTTCTCCCTTTCCCCTATCTATGAGTAAATAGCAGGACAAGCCATGTTCTTGAGCCTTGGATAGCGACTAGTCTACTGCAAAAAGAAATGGCAGCCTACTGCAGGAAAAAAATCTGCCTCGTCAGTCATGTATCGAAAGATACATGATCGTTTATGCGTGTATCACGTTTAGCACATAACTGACTGATATTCACTTACGTGCTAATACCCTTGGGAAAGGTATGAATCCTCTTCTTCTCCTCCCAGCTGTGGGTAAAAAGCAGGACAGACCGGGCTCTATAGCATTGGATAGCAAATGGTCTACCGCAGAAAGAATTGGCAAGCAACTTCTGGAAAAAAATCTGTCTCGTCAGTCATGCATTGAAAGATACATGATCGCCTAAGCGTGTATCTCGTATGGCACATAACTGACTGATATTCACTTATGTGCTAATACCTTTGGGAAAGGCATGAATCCTCTTCTTCTTCCCCACCTTAGCTATGGGTAAATAGCAGGACAGAGTGGGTTCTATAGCCTTAGATGGCAACTGGTCTACCGCAGAAAGAAATGGCGGCCAACTGCAGGAAAAAACCTGCCTCGTCAGACATGTATCGAAAGATACATGATTGCCTAAGCGTGTATCACGCATGGCACATGACTGATTGATATCCACTTACCCTTGGGAAAGGTATGAATCCTCTTCTTCTCCTATCAGTTATGGGTAAATAGCAGGACAGAACAGGTTCTATAGCCTTGGATGGCAACTGCTTTATCGCCAAAAGAAATGGCAACCTAATGCGGGGAAAAAATCTGCCTCGTCAGTCATGTATCGAAAGCGTGTATCTTCTGACTTATCTTCAAAAATCCAAACGCATTTTCCTTAAACACAGTTTTGTCTTCTTTTTATTTGTCTTTTATTCCGTTTATTACCTTTTCCAATTCACCATCTTTAATTTTCTTTCTTCATCTTCTCTCTTCCTTTCTCTTTTTTACCCCCCTTCTTTCACACCTCTCACTGTCTTTTCCTCTCCATCTCTCTCTTTCCCTTCTCTCTTCTCTTTCTTCTTTTTTTCTATCTTCTCTTTCTACTCCTCCCCTTTCTCCTCTCTGTCTATCTTACTATCCATTCCTCTCCCTGTCTTTCTCAACTGCTCTCGTTTTCACCTCCTCCTCCTCCCCCTCCCTCCTCCCTCCCTCCCTCCCTCCCCCCTCCCATTCTCCATCCCCTCTCTCGTCTTCCCGTCTTCTCTTTTCCCTTTTCTTTATTCTCTCTGTCTTTCCTTTGCTCTCCGTCTCTCCCATCTCCATCTTTCTTCTTTCTTCCTCCTTTTCTTTTTCTCTACCATGTCCCTTCTCTCTCTACTCTTCCTCACTTTCACCACTCTCTTTCTCTCTCTCTCTCCCTTACGATCTATTTCTCTCCCTATCTATCAACCACGCTCCCACTTTGTTTTCGCCTTTCTCCCACTTCCTTTATCACGTCTCTCTTCTTCCCTTCCTTCCACCTTTCTTTCGCTCCTCTCTCTTTCTTTTCCACCCCATTCCCATCTCTCTGCCTTCTCTCTTCGTCTCTTTCCTCTCCTATTCTCTACTATGCTTTCTCTTTATACTCCTCCTTCATTTGTTTTCTCTATCTCGCTCGATATCTTAACCATTTCTCCCCCTTTCTCAATCACTCTTCCGGTCTCGTTTTCACCTCTCTCCCACTTTCTCAATCTATTTCTCTCCCTCTCTTAACCAAACTTCCTCCACTCTTTTCACCTCTCTCCCACTTTCACAATCTTCTTTATCTTCTCTTCCTCGTCTCTCCCTTTCTCTCCTTTATTTCACCTTTCTTTCTTTCTTTCTTTCTTTCTTTCTTTCTTTCTTTCTTTCTTTCTTTCTTTCTTTCTCCGTCCCTGTCACCTTAATCTCTCTCTTCCTTCTCTGTTTCTTCTTCTTTTCACTACCATCTCTAATTCTCTTTTTACTCCTCCTCCCTTCCAACTCTTTCCCTCTCTCTCTTACTCTCTCGTTTTCCCCTCCTCCGCTTTTTCCCTCATCTTTCTTCTTTTTCTCTACCATCTCTTTCACCTCACCCTCTCTATTACTATCTATTTCTCTCCCTATCTTAACCAAACCCCCCCACTCTTGTTTTCACCTTTCTCCCACTTTCTCAATCTTCTTTATCTTCTCTTCCTCTTCTCTTCCTTCCTCTCCTTTTTTTTCACCTCTTTCTTTCTTTCTTTCTTTCTGTCTTTCTTTCTTTCTTTCTTTCTTTCTTTCTTTCTTTCTTTCTTTCTTTCCGTCTTTGTTATCTTAATCTATCTGTCTCCCTTGTCTTTATCTTCTCCTTTTCTCTACCATCTCTATTTCTCTTTTTACTCCTCCTCCCTTCCACCTCTTTCTCTCTCTCTCTCTCTTACTCTCTCGTTTTCACCTCCTTCCCTTTCACCTCTTCTCTCTTCATCTCTTTCTTCTCTTTTTCTCTACCATCTCTTTCACCCCTCTCTCTCTCTTACTATCACTCTAGTTTTCACCTCTCTCCCACTTTCTCAATCTCCTTTATCTTCTTCTCTTCCTCTTCTCTTCTTTTCTCTCCTTTCTTTCACCTCTCTTTCTTTCTTTCTTTCTTTCTTTCTTTTTTTCTTTCTTCAGATTCCCTTCTCTTATTCTCAAGTTTTCTTTCTTTCTTTCTTTCTTTCTTTCTTTCTTTCTTTCTTTCTTTTCCTCTCCGTCCCTGTCATCTTAATCTCTCTCTTCCTTCTCTGTTTCTTCTCCTTTTCTCTACCCTCTCTATTTCTCTTTTTACTCCTCCTCCCTTCCAACTCTTTTTTTCTCTCTCTCTCTCTTACTCTCTCGTTTTCACATCCTTCCCTTTCACCTCTTCTCTCTTCATCTCTTTCTTCTCTTTTTCTCTACCGTCACATTCACCTCTCTCTCTCTCTCTCTCTCTCTCTTAATATCCATTTCTCTCCCTATCTTACCACAACACCCCCCACTCTTGTTTTCCCGTCTCTCCCACTTTCTCAATCTCCTTTATCTTCTCTTCCTCTTCTCTTTCTTTCTTTCTTTCTTTCTTTCTTTCTTTCTTTTCCTCTCCGTCCCTGTCATCTTAATCTCTCTCTCTTCCTTCTATGTTTCTTCTCTTTTTCTCTACCATCTCTATTTCTCTTTTTACCCCTCCTCCCTTCCACCTCTTTCCATCTTTCTCTTACTATACATTTCTTTTCCTATATTACCTAAACATACTCCTACTCTCGTTTTCCCCTCTCTCCCAATTTCTCAATCTCCTCTCTCTTCCTCTCACCCTTTCTTTCACTTCTCTTTTCCTTTCCGTCCCTGCCATCTTAAACTCTCTCTCTCTTCTCTCTTTCTTTTCTTTTCCTCTTCCATGTCTCCTTTTCTTTCTCCTCTTCCTCGCTCTCCACATCTCTCAATGGTTCTCTTTCTTCCACAGACATTCAAATACATAATTATTATAATTCTCCTTTGTGCTTTACGTTCTTCAATACACCCCGCTCGCCATTCAGTCCAGGATTCTTAATCGAGATTCTTTTTATCAGACGAAGCCCAGAAACATTCTTTGCCTTAGTTGCAGCCGATGATACTCGAAAATTTGTGTTTCAGTTTTCGTCAAATATTTGCATATCAATGTATCTTTTTCATTATACAATAGGAACGACAGCTGAATCGAAAACAAAGCGTTATCAACACCACCACCAACAAAACAAAACAAACAAATATGACTGAATGATTTTACTTTGAGCTGCTCATTATATTTTCCAACTCAGTATTAATTTATGTCGAAAGCGTCTGTCTAAAACGTAAATCCACGAAAATATTTTATTAAATTTACATGAAAAGATGTCTCTTTGGAAAACAGGAATAATTTTCAAAAGGCGATCTCAACATTAATGATTACAAAATCTGACCAGTCATCCTACCTATAGCAGTGGCGACTTAAACCATTTCAAAGTAAACCCCTTGCGGTCTTATCCTAGCGATCCCAGCTTTGACTGCACGACGGAAGATGCCTTCCGCAAAAAAATCCCTGCACGAGGCATGAAAAACGATCATATTAAAAGTGGTTCGATAGTTTACAGAAAGTATCTGGAATATTCAAATCACCTTTTTTTTTTCTAATTCTTGCTATGAAAATCACCGATTTACTTTGGCTGAAGCTTTTATGTGTTCAGCGTTTACGACTGATTTTTTTTTTTTGATTGTTGAAGTCGTTCTTTTTTTTCTCTTCATATAACCAAGAAGCCGGAGTAAGTAATGGCCGCTTATTTAAGACCTTGCATACTGAGAAAGTACGGAATTCAATAATGTACAAATCTTAATATTTTTTAAATCAGAAATTAGTTATTAGATGGACATTCCACTATTTAATAAAATAAATATACTGTGTATCAAATAAACACCAGTATTATAAATATGATTTTAATATTTCCCTCTGCTCAAACCCCATCCAGATTATATTATCAACATATTTTAAAATGTAAATATAATGAATGAAATATTTACTTAGCATTCCCTACAACATAAACGTAATGGCAAAATGTGTGAATTTAAAGTAAATTCCCACAAAAAAATCACCTTTTTTTTCTAATTCTTACTATTACAAACACCGATTTGCTTTGGCTGAAGCTCCTATATGTTTAACTTTTCCGAATGTTTTTTTTGATTGTTGAAGGCGTTCTTTTTTTTTTCTCTTCATATAACCAAGAAGCCGGAGTAGGTAATGGCTGCTTATTTAAGACCTTGCATACTGAGAAACTATCGAACTTGGGGCATTACAAAGAAAGAAGAGCAGAAGCTAGACAGTTTCCACAGACGACACCTACATTTTGTTTATATTTCTAAAACTGGCTTTTGTTCTCCGTTGCATCACCTCCGAACAGGAAACACGGGAATCAAAACAATGCATTTTTCAATTTACACCTGCAAAGCCAACTTTTCTCTTGGTACCATTCAAAATTAAAGCTGTGAATATATCTCTTGTTGTTGTTTCTTCCTGTCTGCGATATTTGAATATCAGGTGTTAGACGGCCTATTTTTTTTTAAACATTTAACTTTCTTATGGAAAAAAAAACAACAACCATGAAAACTCAAGCTGTTGAATTTCTTTTACTGTCACAGAACTTTGTGATTCAAGGAGGTCATGATTAAATTATTAAAATGTTCTATTCATAACGAGGTTATGGCTACTGACATTAAGCTATATTAAGATTATATAATGTACAATTATAAAGAAAGAATTAAAGAAAAAAAAAGACTCATTATGTTGAAAGTTAATAATATCGAGTAAACTATTTTATCCCGAATAATAGTATTTTTATTGTGCAGTGTCTGTACAGGAGCTGCTACTACTGAAAGATGGCTAAACATGGCGCTAAAATCAGCGTTGTGATTAAAAAAAAATGTACCCTCATAATATCTCCAACAAAAGATTTTACAGCTGATGTAAGACGCGTTGTCTCGCCTTGAATATCGGAACTCCACAAATGATACTGACGTTGGTTTAAAAAAATCAAATGGAAAAATTTGCTGAGTCAGTAATGGCTGCTCCAGTTACTGCTACGCAATAACTACTTATTTGAAATGTTGCATACTGTGAAAGAAAATTTGTCTTTGTTCATTTTGAAAGCAAAATGGAAACCTCTTGGACGTATTTCCCCATACGAAACCTGGGAATTCTGATAGGGAAAAATTACCCTCCTAATAACTCCAAGAAGAACTTTTACAGCAGATGTCAAGAATTTCATTTGTCTTTGTTCATTTTGAAAGCAAGATGGAAACTTTTTGAACGTATTTTGCCAATGGACCCAGTATCCCCAGCTAAGAAAGCCATGGATTTTTACTTTGAAAAGACTGAGTTCAAAAAGTTCAGAGGTCAGCCAAGAACCACCATAGTCACAATGCTGAACCGAGACATTCAAAGAACAAGGCAGAAAGATCCCACTTTTCCTTTGGAGAAGTTTACAATCAAAGAAGAACTGCAACGAATCCTCAAACTTGCAGAGGACAGAGAAGGCTGTCAAAATATTGTCGAATCAATATACAATGTCACTGAAGATGAGAGAAAATGTTAATTCGTGACCTCAAATCGAAACAATTTTGATGATGAGGATGATACCAGATGGTCGTAGGGAATTGAATAATAAACAAATCTTAATATTTTTTAAATCAGAAAATAATTATTAGATGGACATTCCACTATTTAATAAAATAAATATATTGTGTATCAAATAAAAACCAGTATTATAAATATGATTTTAATATTTCCCTCTGCTTAAACCCCATCCAGAATGTATTATCAGCATATTTTAAAAATAAAATTAAATGTAAATATAATAAATGAAATATTTATTAGTATCCCTACAACATAAACATAATAACAAAATCTGTGAATTTAAAGTACCCCCCCAAAAAAAATCACCTTTTTTTTTCTAATTCTTACTATTACAAATCACCGATTTGCTTTGGCTGAAGCTCCTATGTGTTTAACGTTTCCGAATGTTTTTTTGATTGTTGAAGGCGTTCTTTTTTTTTCTCTTCATATATCCAAGAAGCCGGAGTAGGTAATGGCTGCATTACAAAGAAAGACAGTTTCCACATACGAAAGTTGGGAATTCTGATAGGGAAAAATTACCCTCATAATAACCCCAAGAAGAACTTTTACAGCAGATGTCAAGGATCTCATTTGTTTTTGTTCATTTCGAAAGCAAGATGGAAACTTCTTGGACGTAATT